GTCACTTGAAGTAAGACAAAAATCAACCCGTCCGGTCAGGCCGCCTGACCATAAAAATGCATCTCATCAGTACCCAAATCACTTTGGAAAGCCTTGAAATTTTTATATGTCATAGCCACAAATGTCATCAACAATTTTTGTGAAGGAATTATTTTGAAAATAGTTCTGGAAAAATTTATAAAAATTCGAACAGACCTGAAGGTTGGAGGAACAGTGTTTCCGGCAGACTAATTTCGGTCCAAAGATGGACTTCCGAATGGCCTCCAATGATTTCCAAAAATTCTCAAATTAAATTATGTCATACTTCAAGATGTTATGAACAACTTTCATGCATAACACTTTCACAAATTCGGCCCACAACAGTCACAGAGAAAATAGCAAAGTCCAGCGACACAGCAGCAACCCTACCGGAAATCAACCAATGCTCAGCCCATTCTAGGCCACCAAACCACATTTAAATCATCACACTAAACCACCAAAACAGCCACAATATTAGCCCTAATCAGTCCACACTAATTAACCCCTAAAATACCCTAATAACCTCTAAAACTTGTCTAAAGTGCACATAAGCCTAATTAAGGGTTAGGGTTTCCACTCACTAGGTTTAAGGCTTCAAATGTGGGCCGGACAAGGAGAGAAATGGGCTGAACAGCGGCGGCACGACGCCGGACCAGCGGCGGCGAGCGGCGGCTCATGGAGGAGTCGGGTGGAGATGGGGGCTGAACGGTGGTGCTGGTCGGGCTGGAATGGAGGGCGAGAAGCAGCAGAAACCAGACGAAGCAGAATGAAGAAGCAAGTAAGCGGCTAAAGCGGCAAACAAGGCCGAAATGAAGCGAAAATGGAAGAAGTGCAGCTCAGCAGAAGCAGCAGCTGCATGTGAGGGTGCGGCGGGAAGTAAATCAGAAGAGTAGAAGTAGTGGCATGGGTGTTCAGCGTGACAGAGGAGTCATCAAAGCAAAGTCAGCAGAAGCAACAACAGAGCAACAAGGGAATGAGTGGAAGTCAGTCACAGCAGAGGAAAAGCAGAAGCAGCAGCAAGCAACATAGGAGCAGAAGTAGTCAACCAACATGATCAGCAAGAGCAAAAGTCAACAGAACAGCATAGGTTCAGCAGAGCAACAACAGCAGTCACGTGAAGGAGTGGGAAAGTCAGCAGAATAGGAGTCAACAAGCAGGGGCAGCGTGAAAGGTCAGCGGAAAAGAAGGAAAGGAAGTCAGCAAGCAAAACAGAAGCAGCAACGTGGGGCTGCTCGGCGGGGAAAGAGGAGAAGAGGAGAGAGAGAGAGACCAAAGTCAACATACCAATCAAGTGCAATCCAAGGGATCACAATTGGTCTTGTTGGGCAAGCTAGATCCAAGGGCCACAATTCAAAGGCCAATCATATCCAATCAAGATCAAGGGCCAAGATTCAATCTTACACAAAATATCTAGGGGCACTTAGGGAATTGAGCAAGAGTAATGGGGGCATCAATGTCCAATATTTTTGGCCACTAATAGACTAAATAAAACCAATTAACACCTCTAAAATTCGGAACCCAATCATAGGATTAGGGGCAAAACGGTAATTTTCCATTTCCGGTCCGAAATTTCTTTTTTCAACTATACCGATCCCAAATATAATTGGCCACACTAATACGACGTTGTCCTTGCAAAACAGTCGCGTACGTCCATGAAATTCGACACTCAAGTCCGGACTCAATTCCACGATCAATTTCGTTCAAATGCGATTTTAGCATCTCTCACTAACCGGGCGGCTGTTTAGGGGTTATGTGTATCGACTTAGGATTACTCGAGTCGTGACGGTCTCGATTTCCAAGAGGACGCGAGGATTATCACTAGTTCCGGAGGTCGCGATCGTTCGGAATAAGTTCGGGATTGTTTGCCACAAGCACTCTCGATCGTGCGGAATCACCCACGTTCCGATCATACGCCTTTGGCTAAACCAAATCCGTCACCCTCCTTGGATCGGCCCACATTGGTACAAAATATTCCCTCGTCATTTCTCGGAATCGGACTCGATTCGCGGTCGAGTTCTTAGGTCCACGTACCGTTTTCCTAGTTAGCCATTCCCTATTGGTCAGTATCCCGAGAAGAATCCGTTCCGGGCGAGACTTACTAAAATGAAATGAGAAATACACATCTATTTCATTGATCACGAAAGTGGGTCGAATTCAGGATGTTACAACTCTTCCCCCCTTACAAAAATTTCGTCCTCGAAATTTACAATCTAATCCCTACTACTCAAACAAATGGGGGTGCTGACGTCGCATCGCTTCCTCACTTTCCCAGGTGGCACCTTCTGTTCCATGATGCTCCCATTTCCATTCTGGGATTTCCAACGGTCTCAAAAGTCCTCCAGGCTTACAATGCTGCGCCTTTACTTGCTGGCAGGTCAGACACTTCGCCACATGCTTGGCCACATCTGCTTTCATATCATTCCACCAATAGTGCTGCCGCAAGTTATGATACATCTTTGTACTGTCCGGATGAATGCTATAATTGCTCCTATGAGCCTTCGATAAAACCTCTTCCTTAAGTTCCAAATGGTCGGGCACGCATAAACGTCCACGGAACTTCAAGATCCCGTCTTCGGATACTTGGAAGTCCGATTTTCTATTGGCGGCATCCATTTCAACTATCTTCTGAACTTCTTGGTCAGTAGATTGCAATGCCTTAATCTTGACTTGAATTTCTGGTTCAATTCTCAACACGGCAAGTAGATTCGACACATGGTTTAGCTCAAATTTAAACTCCAAATCTCTCAAACTTTCCAATAAGGTCCACTCTTTGACCATCAGGTGCGCTATACTTGATTTCCGACTTAGCGCATCCGCTACCCGATTAGCCTTCCCAAGGTGATACAGAATGTCGCAGTCGTAGTCCTTAAGAAGTTCCATCCAACGACGCTGCCTCATATTCAATTCCTTTTGCGAAAACAAATACTTGAGGCTTTGATGATCCATATAAATCTGAAACTTTTTGCCGCACAAATAGTGCCTCCAAATCTTAAGCGCGAAAATGATTGCTGCCAGTTCCAAATCATGCATCGGATAGTTCATCTCGTGCGGTCTCAACTGACGCGACGCATAAGCCACTACCCTTCCATGTTGCATCAATACACATCTAAGTCCCTTAAGCGAGGCATTGCTATAAATCTCGTATCCTCTGGGTCCTGACGGGATGGTCAACACAGGCGCCGTCGTCAACCTATGCTTTAGCTCCTCAAAGCTCATTTCACACTTATCGTTCCATTCAAACTTTGTTTCCTTCTTGAGCAATCGAGTCGTCGGCGTAGCTATTGATGAGAATCATTCTACAAAACGCCGGTAATATCGTGCCAGGCCTAAGAAACTCCGGATCTTTGTTACTGACGTCGGCCTTGGCCACTTAGTCACTGCCTCAATCTTAGTCGGGTCTACGGAGATTCCATCTCCGGAAATTATGTGTCCTAGGAACGCCACTCGGTTGAGCCAGAACTCGCACTTACTGAACTTGGCATAGAGTGCGTGTTCTCTTAAGGTCCGTAGTACTTTTGCCAGATGTTCCTCATGCTCTTCCGGGCTCTTCGAGTATACCAAAATATCATCGATAAAAATTATCACAAACCGGTCCAAAAACTCCTTAAACACCCGATTCATTAAGTCCATAAAGGCAGCTGGGGCATTGGTCAATCCGAAAGGCATCACTGTGAACTCATAATGCCCGTACCTCGTCCTAAAGGCCGTCTTACGAATATCCTCCTTCCGAATTCTCAACTGATGATACCCCGTCCGTAGATCGATCTTAGAAAACACTGAGACTCCTTGCAATTGATCGAACAAGTCGTCAATCCTCGGCAGTGGGTACTTATTCTTGATGGTCACCTGATTCAACTGTCGGTAGTCGATACACAATCTCAACATTCCATCCTTCTTCCTCACAAACAGCACCGGCGCTCCCCATGGAGACACACTTGGGCGGATAAATCTCTTGTCCAACAACTCCTGCATCTGGACTTTTAACTCCTTTAGTTCCGATAGGGACATCCGGTACGGTGCCTTTGAGATTGGCTCAGTTCCTGGGGCCAACTCGATTACAAATTCCACTTCTCTTTCTGGTGGCAAACCCGGCAATTCCTGAGGAAAGACTTCGGGAAAATTGCACACTACGGGTATCTCTTCCAATTTTGGTTCCGCAACTGTCGGATCAACCATATTCACCAAATACCCTTCACAACCTTCATCTAACATCTTGGTCACCTCAAGCGAAGAAATCCAAGGGATCGAGGTTTCTCCTCGGTTTCCCTGAAACTCAAATCTAAGATGTCTAATTGGATATTGTATCACCCTGCTACTGCAGTCCATTACAGCCTTTTGCTTAGCTAACCAATCCATTCCAATAATCACATCAAAGTCGAACATGGCCAAAACTGCCAAATCTATCATTTCTTCTCTACCCCCAATCACTATCTTACAACTTGAACATCCTAGCGAGACTAATACCTTATCATTCAATGGGGTCGCCACACACAACATAACCTCAAGCAACACGGGTTCAATTCCAACCAATCTAACAAACTGCTCTGCAATAAACGAGTGGGTAGCCCCCGGATCAAACAAAGCATATGCAGCATCATCACATAGAGAGACCGTACCTGTGACAACGCCTGGCGTGTCCTCCACCTCCCTTCGCGCCATCGCATACACCCTTCCTTGCGCTTGCGGTCTACCCTGAATAGCCGGCGAGGGATTCCTAGCCTGATTCCCGATCCGAGGCGGCTGAGCTCGCATTGGTGGTCCTGTTGGACCCAGCTGAGGGCAATGTCTGATCTGATGGTCCGTGCTCCCGCACTTAAAACAAGCCCTAAGCCTGTTCTACCGGTGGTTCGGCTTCCCGAAGTTCTTCCTTACGGGAGGGACAAATCGCCTATTTCCTGTCATCGGCTTCTTCCCGAAGCGGCGGTTGGCCTTAACCGCGATCCAGAAGCGGCTGCCCTATCCACCTGATCCCGCTCAATAGCCTAAGCCCTCTCATATAGGTCCTCATAAGTTCTCAAATTCACCGAGATCAACTGAGTGTGAATGTCGGCTTTTAGTCCATCCCGAAACCTTCGCGCCTTGTCCTCAGGATGCTCTACCATCCTTGGTGCAAACTTAGACGGTCTAGTAAATTCTGCCTCATACTGATCCACAGTCATCTGGCCTTGGTGGAGTATCATAAACTCTACTAGTTTCCTTTCCCTAGCACTCTCAGAGAAGAATTTTCCATAAAAGTTCTCAAAAAACACAGCCCAAATCTGAGCGACACCCTCAGGGAACACTCTTCCCCTAGTGGCCTTCCACCAATCACTAGCATTATCTTGCAACTGATACACAGCTAAGGTTACCTTCTCAGCCTCGATGCACCCCAGCACCTCAAAGGTCTTCTCCAGCTCTTCCACCCAACGTGGCACGGCCTCGGGGTCACCTTTTCCGTCGAACTTCGACGGCTTTAACTATAGAAACTACTCTACCAGTTGGTGCATCAGCCTATTTACAACCACTGGGACCTGCCCTTGATTGGCCTGGTTTCCATTAACAGCAGCAGCAGCTGCGGCCTCGACAGCTTAGGCAATGGCGGCAGTCCTTTCTTGAGCCTGCCTTTCCACCACATTTCCTATCTCCTGCATGGCCTGAATGACCCCATCAATCCTCGGGCCACCTGTTCCTCGGCCTCTAGTGCTCGATTACCCTCGACTTCCCCTTCCTCTGCTCATCCTTAAGGGTTTTCCTCACTACTCAACCACCTGCTATAATTCCACTCAGGAATTAGAGACCTAGGCCAAACTACACCAGTTTAAAGCCCTAGGCACAGAATCACGACAGCAATCACAGAGCAGACAGTCAATCACAACGGCACGAAGCCTCAACCAAGAAATATGCGCACTTACCTCGGGTCCTGCCGCACCTGCACTTTACGGGTCATTTCAACAATCACTCAATCAATCAAGAAACCAAGCAGTCCAGAGGTACACGTAGCACGCAAGTCACCCTATTTGGCTACCCATGGTCATCGCTCCTTATCACTCCAGGTTTCGACCTAATTGGATCGAGCTGACCTTGCTCTGATACCAAATCAACGGGGGATGTCACGCCCCGAACCCTACGAGCGCGCGACAACCCAACCGAGGTTTATTCAGTGCGACGTCCCAGGACGCGTCGCCGACCCAAAACCCAAACAACAGAGAACAATGCACAACGGAAGTAACAAACACCCGTACAATATAAAACCACATAACCAAGGGTAGCAATAATTAAAATAAATACAACTTGCATTAATAACCGGGATTTACAAAATCCATTGTTAGGCAATATATGCCAACCAAAATATGGGTCAACAGCCACTAACATCAAAAAGGGGTATGTGGCTCGGGGGTCAGGCACTAACTCTAATAAGGGCTCTATCAAAAAGTGTTGGCCCTGCCTAACTGTGGTCAAGGACTAAACCCTGGGGCAACCAGTCCGAGTCGGATCTTGAGGACTCAGAATCCATCGAATCCGGCTTAGACTCGGTGTCCATTGACTCCGCCCCGAAATCATCCTCCGGCTCTAGCTCCTGCTCCTGGGCTCCGGCTCCGGGTCCGGCTCGCTATCGGACTCCCAGTCCATTGGCTCCTCTCCCTTGGACTCGGAAACCATCTCAACTATGACTGGCCGGGCGCCGGAATACTCCTCGGACGTGGCAGCGGGGCTCACGATCTCTCCATCGGCGGCCTGCGGATCCGGCTGGCCATATATGTCGAACGGGATGTTGAAGGACCAAAGGGGTCCATGCATACTGAACTGGTCCTGGAAAGACCAACCGAGATAAGGATGGGCCTGGAAATATGGCCCGCTCTCGTCGACCCGAACTATAATGAAATGCTTAATATAAGACTCCCCGTTCCCTACGGGGTGTACCGTCACCGATCGCTCTATGCGATAGGGAATCCCAAAACGAAGTGGCGCATCCACCATCTCAAGGTCGGGGGTCTGAAAAGTGGGGTTTAAACAACAATGAGAATAAATCTCAGCGAGTAGGCCCCCTAATCCAAAACTAGGCTAACATGCACCTCCCGGAAGAGCATCAGTTAAACACACAGTTGTTCAATCACACGACTTAGGCCCTCGAGGCCCAAATCAAGCATATAGTGACCCCGGGTTAGGCACATAATAATAATAATACTATGCCCAAGAATGCACATACACATGTCAATTGGCCACCTGTCACATGCCGCACACATGTTTGCACTCGTTTATGCACTCTTCGCACACTTGCCAATGTCATGCTTATGCTTGCACATTTCAATGCACACTCGCACACTTACACACGTGCCAACTTTCCATTTATTCACCGACCACCGTATAACGCATCAGGTCCGACCCGCGTAACACGCATCAGGTCTATCACTTTTCGATCGATCTCGAGCCCGCGTTAAACGTATCATGCTCATGACACAACCCGCGTGTGGGACGCCTCAGGTTGGCCATCTTCTAGTAATCCGGGCATCGTCCCGCATTAAACGCCTCAGGACGGGTTCATTACCCCGCGTAAACGACGCCTCAGGGTTTATGTGATCACACGAGCCTAATCCACCAATTATTATCTGAATCTCGCGTAAACGACGCCTCAGGGCGATTTAGGTGATCACATGCTCATGCCATTGGTGCACACTCACATAATGCACATGTTATGCCAATGCTCGATATACACATTCATGGCCATAAGGTCCACGCTCGGCATCCACAATTTTCACACTCAATTAATGCCACAATATGCTCAATTCACATAATATCCCAAATCAAGACCACAATGATCAACCACTAAGAACAAGGGAAAACCAAATACACAGATTCGGAGCAATTCTGAGCCAGTGCACAGTTCTGGAATCCCTTTTTAAATAAATAGTAATTCAACTCCAAAAATTATAAATTTTGGATATGTTGCATAAAACATCTTGATAAACATTTTCCGTGAAGAACTCGAAACCCAATTCCAACTGTAAACACCTCTTTTTGTCACTTGAAGTCAGACGAAAATCAACCCGTCCGGTCAAGCCGCCTGACCATAAAAATGCATCTCATCCAGTACCCAAATCACTTTGGAAAGCCTTGAAATTTTTATACGTCATAGCCACAAATGTCATCAACAATTTTTGTGAAGGAAGTATTTTGAAAATAGGCCTGGAAAAATTTATAAAAATTCGAACAGACCTGAAGGTAAGAGGAACAGTGTTTCCGGCAGACTAATTTTGGTCCAAAGATGGACTTCCGAATGCCTCCAATGATTTCCAAAAATTCTCAAATTAAATTATGTCATACTTCAAGATGTTATGAACAAACTTTCATGAAGAACACTTTAACAAATTCGGCCCACAACAGTCACAGAGAAAATAGCAAAGTCCAGCGACGCAGCAGCAACCCTACCAGAAATCAACCAATGCTCAGCCCATTCTAGGCCACCAAACCACATTTAAATCATCACACTAAATCACCAAAACAGCCACAATATCAGCCCTAATCAGCCCACACTAATTAACCCCTAAAATACCCTAATAATCCCTAAAACTTGTCTAAAGTGCACATAAGCCTAATTAAGGGTTAGGGTTTCCACTCACTAGGTTTAAGGCTTCAAATGTGGGCCGAACAAGGAGAGAAACGGGTTGAACAGCGGCGGCATGACGCCGGACCAGCAGTGGCGAGCGGCGGAGTCGGGTGGAGATGGGGGCTGAACGGTGGTGCTAGTCGGGCTGGAATAGAGGGCGAGAAGCAGCATAAACCAGAGGAAGCAGAATGAAGAAGTAAGTAGCAGCGAAGCAGTAGCATCAAGGCCGAAATGAAGCAGAAATGGAAGAAGTGCAGCTCAGCAGAAGCAGCAGCTGCACGTGAGGGTGCGGTGGGAAGTAAAACAGAAGAGTAGAAGTAGTGGCATGGGTGTTCAGTGTGACAGAGGAGTCAGCAAAGCAAAGTCAGCAGAAGCAACAACAGAGCAACAAGGGAATGAGTGGAAGTCAGTCACAGCAGAGGGAAAGCAGAAGCAGCAGCAAGCAACGTAGGAGCAGAAGCAGTCAACCAACATGATCAGCAAGAGAAAAAGTCAACAGAACAGCATGGGTTGAGCAAAGCAACAGCAGCAGTCACATGAAGGAGTGGGAAAGTTAGCAGAACAGGAGTCAACAAGCAGGGGCAGCGTGAAAGGTCAGCGGAAAAGAAGGAAAGGAAGTCAGCAAGCAAAACAGCAGCAGCAACGTGGGGCTGCTCGTCGGGAAAAGAGGAGGAGAGGAGAGAGAGAGAGACCAAAGTCAACATACCAATCAAGTGCAATCCAAGGGCTCACAATTGGTCTTGTTGGGCAAGCTAGATCCAAGGGCCACAATTCAAAGGCCAATCACATCCAATCAAGATCAAGGGCCAAGATTCAATCTTACACAAAATATCTAGGGGCACTTAGGGAATTGAGCAAGAGTAATGGGGGAATCAATGTCCAATATTTTTTGCCACTAATAGACTAAATAAAACCAATTAACACCTCTAAAATTCGGAAGCCGATCATAGGCTTAGGGGCAAAACGGTAATTTTCCATTTTCGGTCCGAAATTCCATTTTTCGACTATACCGATCCCAAATATAATTGGCCACACTAATATGATGTTGTCCTTGCAAAATAGTCACGTACGTCCATGAAATTCGACACTCAAGTCCGGACTCAATTCCACGATCAATTTCGCTCAAATGCGATTTTAGCATCTCTCACTAACGGGCGGCTGTTTAGGGGTTATGCGTATCAACTTAGGATTACTTGAGTGGTGATGGTCTCGACTTTCAAGAGGACGCGAGGATTATCGCTAGTTCCGGGGGTCGCGATCGTTCGGAATAAGTTCGGGGTTGTTTGCCATACGCACTCTCGGTCGTGCAGAATCACCCGCGTTCCGATCGTACGTCGTTGGCTAAACCAAATCCGTCACCCTCCTTGGATCGGCCTACATTGGCACAAAATATTCCCTCGTCGTTTCTCGGAATTGGACTTGATTCGCGGTCGAGTTCTTACGTCCACGTACCGTTTTCCTAGTTAGCCATTTCCTATTGGTCAGTATCCCGAGAAGGATCTGTTCCGGGCAAGACTTACTAAAATGAAATGAGAAATACATATCTATTTCACTGATCACGAAAGTAGGTCGAATTCAGGATGTTACAGATGCAATGTCCCGAAGGATAGTGAACACGAAAAGAAAGGAGTAACTGAAGAAGATGTTAAACAGTTACTTTCAGTCATGAAGACAAGTAAATTTGAGGTAATTGAATAGCTAAGAAAGATGCCGGCACAAATTTCTCTGTTGGATCTCTTCAAGACTTTAGAAAGCCATAAAATGGTGCTTATGAAGCTTCTCAATGAAGTGCACGTCCCGGAGACGATTAATGAAGTACAATTGGGCGCTATCCTTCTAAAGGATCAAATTGCCTTCTCTGATGAGGATTTCCCAATTGACGGGTATTCCCATAATAAGGCTTTGTATATTGCCGTCAAATGCCAGGGTAAGGAGGTGTCACGGGTGCTGATCGATAATGGTTCCGCACTTAATTTGTGTCTACTAAGCACACTGCATTGCTTGGGGATTAGTGAGGAGCTCATCAAACCTTCTAAGGTAACAGTGCGCTCGTTTGATGGAATGAAGAAAGATGTTATTGGCGATATCGAGCTCGAGGTAAACATAGGCCCTGTGCCTTTTCTGATTGACTTCCAAGTAGTGGATATTCCGAAGACTTTCAACTTATTACTTAGAAGACCTTGGATTCATATGGCTAGCTCCATTCCTTCAAGTCTCCATCAGAAGGTCAGGTTTGTCATTAATAGCAAGATGATCACCGTACACGGGAAGATAGATTTCACCACCTACAAAGAGAGTGCAATACCGTATGTCGAACCCGAAGTGAAAGAAGAACCAAGTTATCATTCCTTCGAAATGATATCAATGGTGCAAATTCCTGCTGGTTATCCCCGGAGTTCTCAGCACCATCCATTATGTCTGGAAGGATGT